GTTACGTACAGGGTAGTAATATCTCTTGAATGGAAAAAATTGTCGCTTACATTTCTTCCAAGGCTGACAAATCAATAAAAATGTTGCGTGGTAGCTTTTCTAGCTGATTGCCGCTCAATCGCCTACATTGGAAGAACAACAAAATTCCGTTGATTTAGTAAGAATAAATTTTGTAGACGAACAAGACTCTTGTCTAATGCAATTTTTATCGTGAAAAAGTTACAAGTGATAAAAAATGTACGAAAAAACAAAAGAAAGATGATCATAAATAAAATTTTGACATTTATTGCATTTATTTTATTCGAAATGCATCCAAATGACTGGCCGAGACAGAACTCAACGCTTGTCAAATTCAAACTTTGACAAGACTATCCTTCAAAAGGTATTCAGCCTCAAGCTTGGAGAAGTGTGTACATTGATTTTAAACCATTCAAAAACGTTAAGAACATTCGTTGTACAGCAATTAGTGAAAGTAACTTGCACTTATCTATCGGATTCTTCCTCGACTGTAAAAGCTAAACGTTTGCAAGAACTCGACCGTCGCTTTCGAACCTTAGTACGCGTTTTGAGTGGCCAACCATGAGAGAAATTTAGCAGTTTTAAGTGTCTTCCGTCATGGTCTCTTCTACTTGATACCTCCTTATAGTTAAAGTGGCTGCATTCGTGGAGAAGTTCAGTGAATTTAAACCCGAATATGATAGTAAGAATTGGTGTTCCTTCGATGCTGGCAATTTGAGCCAGCACCTGCACTGAGATTCGTGACCTTTTCCTCTCTCTAATTTACGAATAATACCGTCCCGCCTCGTTTGCATCATGATGCTTATGATATTTACGCCTGACTGTTGCCTTTTAAAGCAGATTTTGACAGTGAAATTTCGGTCGAATTTGACACTGAGGTAGGAAGAACCGGATCATTGCATATTTAGTGGTCTTCGCTGAACAAACCGCTTAAGGAGGGTCACCGGATACCATTTTCCACCAACCGGTGCTGTAAACAACCTTGGCTGGAAATCTATGTTCTTACTCTGCAGCCCACTCTGTCTCGTCTTTGTTGGACCTTGTAAAAACGACATGAACCCCAGATCTTCGTCTTTTTTGCATAATTGGAATTATCTGTTCCATTTTGTTCTTGAAGGCCACGAAAAACAAAGGATAACAATATAGGCTACTGCCTGAACAAATAAGAGCGTGCGGAGTTTTAGAACTAAAATTTTCTCTTTTTCATAGTACCTATTCTTCCTCTCCAGGACTTCGCATTTTAGTCAGACGTATGCCCATACAGCAATGGCGGAAGAGTGGACTCTTCATATGATTGCCTTTCGAGTGCAGCCATCGTCCCTTTTAAGAGTCTCTTAAGCTATCTAGCTCGTATTCTCAACCACTTTTGGCTTTAGAAACTTTCGAGTGATCTGTTAAAATTTCTCTGGCTCGTTTTCCTCGATTTCGTTGTCGATATTTTTTTTTCAAACAACTTACATTCGGCTATGAAGAAGTACTCTAAATTGTGATCGGTTGTTTGTTAATATTCCGGCCATTTTCTTTCTCACACCTTAGGTCCAATTTCTACGAGAGGCGTCATTCGCGGTAGAGCTGATCAGAGCCGTATATAATTTCATGTGCAGAATTAATCAGTATGTCCAATAAATCAAAACATTGGCTATGAATTGTTCTTGTCTAAAACCAGAAATAAAAGCATTTGTGGAGAGCGGAGCCTGAAAAGAAGAATTTTGTGGTAAACAGGGCAATATTGTCTTTATTGAAGGTTATGCAAGAGGTTCCGACACGAGTTCCTTTCCGGGATTACTTCCAAGTAAGTTGTAGAAGAACCCACGCTAGGGTTGATTGGAGTTTAATTTAAGCAAGGTCAAATCGAATGAAATCAATTCTCGCATTTTATGTTGTTTTCTCCGCCTTCAACCGGTCCTGTGATTCAGGATGTCTCAAAAGAAAACAAAGATCAACAATGACAACTAAGTGATAGATGCATTATGTCTTACACCTCTCAGTGTTAGTTCACAGGTCGACTCTTGACTGGAGGTTTCATTTGACGCTGAGGCGCGCCGGGTGCAGGTGAATGTGCCGCCAGAACATTCGTGTGTTGTAAATGGACTAACTGAAACGAGGTTTCTATGTTGAAATGTTGCGGGTCATTTCTGTAGTTCAGGTTTTATTATTGTAAGTATAAGTAAAAGATTTACCACTTACAGATATCTAAGCTTATCCTGCTCAGCAAACAAGTCTTCAGGTAACTTTTTGATGTTGTTGTTCCCCAGCCACCTGTAAAACACCATACACAATTAAGTCCTTCGCTTCAGTCTGCCAAGCCACATAGTGGTCTGTCGCTGAAGGCAAGCTTTAGAAATCTACCTATTGAGCACCTTCAACAAAGAGGATTCTAAGATTATAATCTATTATAAACGTTGAACTTAACAGTGATTTTGTAAGTCATCTATTCTGTTTTTCTGTTGAAATCGCGTCTGACTATGGTAAATCTTGATGAACTATGGGACATGGAGAAGAAACCTGAAGTGATTTCTAGATTCGTTTTGAACAAGGCATCCTCCGAGGGGAAATAGTATTGTCGGGCGGGAGGTATCAGCCTCCTGTCTTTATCAATTTGTTCAAGATGATTTCTTTTAGCACCTGTTTTTTTTACAAATTCAGGTGGTTAATTGGCATTCATTCTCATTTTTAAACAAAAGGCTCAAAACAGTTTTAGGAGAGTGGAAAATCAATCTAAGTGAACGGCAGTCGACTGTCGAGAGCTTCAGGGCCAATTGCTTACAGATCGATTAACTTGAAGCGCTTGAATATATCAGAAGGAAGAGTCTCCAGTTTGTTGAAGTCCAGGGTTCTGTGTAGAAAAATAATGACAATTGGGAAGTAGCGAGCATGTTAAAATCCTAACATGACGCAACATGTTGGATTTTGAAAGACATTTCTCAACAGTTCGTCTGTCATCTCAGGGCTAATTTTTTTAAAATTGAACTTTATATCTTTTTCACTTTGAAACTTTGCGTTGATTGAACTAAAGCTGTCAGAAAAAAATTTGTTGAAGCATGTATTTCAAATTCACAGTTGTTGTGTCTGGAACATTGCTGCCCGAAGATTTAAAACACGGCTCAAGGCGTGAATACTGAAAAAAAAAAAATAATCTTACTCGATTTATCTGTGAGAGAAATGTTTGTAAAAACTTATTTGTTTTCTTAGACTCAGGAAGCAGTTTTTATCCTTTTTTTCTTTTTTTTCAATTTCAATTTGCACTTGCACGACGATGAACATGCCTTGTCAAATTAAGAATAGTTCTTACAGCATTAGTGAAAATTTCCTGTACAGTTTGCCACTCAATGGTTTTAATTTTCAGTCTCCATCCTGGAAAAAGGTGTGCTTCTAAAAACTCTAGGGACCTTAAGTGTTAGCATTATTGCTCATCCGAAGGGTAATGAAAATTTAAAACTACTAAACTTACAAGTTTTGAAAGCTGCCCCAGCCACACCACTTAGGTAGTTGTTCAGAGGAAAAATTCTTTAAATTGTTGTTGTTCAGGAATCTGCATCGTTAAAAGGGAACAATATTAGTAAAACATTAATGGCTCGATTTGATTTCCTCTGCCGGATGCTATTGATACAGTCTTAAAGCACAGACTGAAAACCCCTCTTTGGCTGATTTTAACTGAGCCATTATGATAAGAGGTTTTAATTCGGTATGTACGTGCCAATGAGTAGAATACAGACTGTTTGGCCTCTCGCATTCTCTTGGTGGATGGAGTTTATTTAAATTATAAGAAAATGACGCAAGAAATTACGGATCAAACTATCTTCCAAGGAGAGAAAACTACGAATCTTCTCGTACTCCTTTTTTGGTGGAGAATTTAGAATCCTACTGCAAACTATTACTACGATCACTCTCATTTCAGACTAAAAACTGCATCTTTAGGAAGAAAGCTTGGATATTTAAAGCAATATCTGGCGCAAACAATACCTACGGCGGGTCTAAATTAAAGTTCTCTTTATTCCTGGTATAGCCATCTTTGATTTTCATGGCAGCGGAAGGCTGAGTAGAGAAAGTAATTTGTACCTAGGGGGTGAGCGACGGTCAAATATAAGGAGAGGGGCTGGGGTGGGGGAGTGAAAATTACTCGCCCTTCCCGCTCTTTCCCCGTCCCCCCTCTACTCTGACTCCAAATCAAACATGGAGTTCGGATAAATGATCACGAGCTTATAACCTTAACTCGGCCTTATAAGACGCCTGCACTGAAGGCTACTTCTGGTACTTTTTATCTGACAGTATGACGTCAATGATACTATGTGGTTTTGGTATGCAAGGAAAAGTCACCCCCTCGATTTTGGTCTCTTAGACAGTTAATTTATGCGTTAAAACTTAGATTAAACGCGTTATCCCATTCTGTCCCACTAGGTTTGCTTCTGTCCCCAAAGTCGTGGTATTTTCTTCTCTTCAAATATCTGGAGGGGTGGGGCGAAAGGGCGTACAATGGCTGAGATTTTTGCCCGAATACATGGAGTAATCAACATAATGCAAAATGACTTCTGTCGTTGGGCCGTACAAAGATTATCTTGCTGGTTCTCTTCATTTTCGCTCCCTTCGCAGAGCAAACGTACAGAAGAATATTGCAAAGGAAAGCAAAGTGCTTCAAAGTCTTAAAATTGACGACGGCAACAGTCCCAACGATAGATATGATTTTAATTCTTGTATTCAAACTGTTTTTCGTGCATCTTTTTGGCTGCCATTTGGTTATGTTTTANTGTGTGATGGATGTCCTCCCCTGGGGTGGTTGCTGGGTGGGAATTGGCCCTGAAAAGCCCCATGGGGAGTGGTCAATTATGGTCAATTAACATATGTATGTATGTATGTATCTCTCTCAAAAAAACTATCATAGCTTTTGAGTGGATTTTAACCGGCAGTCTTTGTTAAAAATGTGCAGCTATCAACACATTTTTCCAAATTTTCGTTGAACTAACTGTGCTGAGGTAGTTTTTTACCCGTTTGAATATATTTTTGCTCATAGAATAAGAAAGAGGTGGAGATATGCAGTTGTCCTCTAGTTTCCCGCCACGAACATGCTCGTTGTTGTGTACAATAACCTGGCTTTTATCTCTCATTGGTCATTATTGGAGGAGGAGATTCTTTACACGTGGACGTGCTATTCAGTGAAACAACTGTAAAACACACAAGAACCTCTCAGTAGAGTGACGTTTGAGGCTCCGATTGGGTGGTTTAAATATGGGATAACCGAGGATTTTTTGCTCACAAGTACAAGATTACAGAATAGAGCCCAAGCCTCGTATAAGGCGTTCATCCACACCAGGCATAATGGAACATGATTCCTGTTGTATTTTCAGTTTACAATGTTTGTGAGATTGAAAATGCTTCAGATGTTGATGGATTTTTCATCAGTAAGATGAGGGTCCACAATAGGTTTGGCGGGATGCAGGATTTGGCTACTTTTCGTGGTGATATTCGGGATATGAGCTGAAAACAGAAGCGTGATGCGCGAATTTTGACAACCAGCGGGAGCAGGATTTCTTATTTTTTGGGGGATGGGATTCGGGAATCGTAAGGAAAAAACAGCGGGATACGGGAATTTAGTTTTGTCTTGACAAAAAATTCATTAGCGTTGACTGAAAAAAAAGTAGTTCTTAAGTGTGTATACCGCCTTTATAGTCAAGCTATGAGTGTCAAAGGAAGTGAAGCCGGTCAAATTTTGCCCATTATCATTTTTTTGTGTTGTTCTTGTTTTCCGGTTTTACTATTTTTGCCGAGGTATCAAATCACTGAGGTTAGAAGTCAAGATCCTGCACTCATTCCTGTTTCGTTGACGGATTTGACCTTTTCTGCTTTTACCTGGACGGACCTGTCGGACCTGGACGATCCTTTGGACTGAGCGTATGCCCGCACCAACTGTATCAAGGTATCCACCACTCTGCATGAACGGAAACCAATGCATTTCTAGATGCAGTCGGAAAGATATACAAGGCTTTCTCCGTCCACGAAAAGCATGCAAACAT